AATAAGTAACAATCAGACAAGCTAATATTTCTAATCATAATGGATCAGGTTATGGTGACTTTAATCCTCAACCGAACAACTATCCAATGTACCTTCATATTATTTAATTAACAAAATTATAAATGCTGAATATAATAAAATACAATAAATCAGACATTTCAAAGTTGGGCATTAAGTATTATGAAGATCATACCATTTTATTGAAGAAGTGTTACCTCTACCTGCAGATTAGTAATGATCACTGGCTGAATTTTGTCAGTCTGTGAGAGTTTCTGAAATCTGCAGAAATTGAGTCATTACCATTTTGAATAAAACTCATCTTTCTTCTACTGGTGATATTATTTGAAACTACTCGCTATTATCTGCATTTTACAGGTAGGAGTGAAATATTTCAGGCACCCAGGGAACTTTGTTACATTTATAAGAGTCTAAAATTCAAAGTAATTTTTAGGGAATATCCTTATATTTCTCTATCCATTCAGTTCTTTACTATGTTTCCCACCCCACCTTCAGACCTTCAGTATATTTCTCCAGCTGTCTCAAATTTGTCGACCTCCTCATTTATCTCCCTCTGTCTCCAACCCTTCAGTCTACCTCTCACTTGTCTCCAATTATTCCATGTTTTTCTATTCAGCTCTAATAAACTATAATTTTCTTTCTTCATATTTTTCTCTTCTCATCTCTGGCACTTCAGTATTTTGGTTTCACCCATCTCTAACTCTTTTGTGTGACTCTCTAAATCTCTAATCCTACGTTGTATGTTGTGTTTCATCTCCACTCTTCAGTGTGTCTCAGTGTCACCTCTCTTAAATATTCCACTGGAGCTGATTTGTTATGTTATTTGTCGGACAACAAGCACTGGATGAGCACAAATTTCCTCCAGTTAAGTATTGGGAAATCCGAAGGCATTACCACTAACTCTACTCTAAAGCCGCCCACTCGATTCCTCTCTCTGTGGCAAAGGGATAGAGGGTTTGAAAGTAGAGAAAAGGGTCTCCAAATGACAGAAAGTTCTGGGAGGATACAGGGTTTGCAAAGGGAAGAAAACTGTTTAAAACTTTTCAACGAAAGGAATACTCAGCTAACTGGGAGCAAGTAAATGGAGGTAATGAGTTCCTTGCAAATTAATGTGAAGTCTCTAGACTAAAGCTGCAGAAGTTCAAGAGCTATCATGGGGAAAATGTAGCGGATAGTATTGTAATGAACATTGTGTAATTTAACACTGAACAATTTTATTTCATAAAGATTTGCATTTATGTGTTATCACATCTCAAAACATCACACACATACTATGAATTGTTTGAGGTATGTTAGGAGCAAAAGTGCAATGGTTTAGCTGTGACTTCACCAGTCAGTGGAAAGTGTGTTTAGGATGATGGCTGTTAATTTACAGAAGTTCCATTTTGTTGCTAACTTATATTGTTTATTGTGTCTATTTAAATACTGACACGTCTAGGAAATTGATGCTTTCATTGTGTGTTTTGGCTTTATGCTTAAACGCCCCATGATGTTTATTGTGGATATTGACAAATCTTTCTCATTCTGCTCCAGTGTTAGACCAAATCACTCATAGATCGACACAAATACAGCAAGTACAATTACCAAGTGTTTGCATCACTTTGCCAAGAAGTTAATGAGACTTAAAATGGAGCCCCGAAAACTAAAAAGTAGTCCCCCTAAAATCAAAAGATGGCCATTGAGGTATCTCAAAAGGAGCCCTTAGTTGGGGAGGGTTGGTAGAGGGGTGGAGAGATTCTGAGACCTGAGTGTCTCAGAGGGGAGCAGCTGGTAGTGTTGAGTTCTGAAAAAGGGGCACAGAACTTGAAATGTTAACTCTGCTTTCTCTCCACAGATGTTGCAAGACCTGCTGAGTTTCTCTAGCAATTTCTGTTTTTGTTTCATATTTCCAGCATCTGCAGTTACTTATTTTATTTGTATTGATGGTGGTGGCTTCAGCGATGATAGTGCAATTGAATATGAAGGGGAGGTGGTTAAATTCTTTCTTGTTGGAGATGGTCATTGCCAGGCACATGTGTGGCACAAATGATACTTGCCACTTCTCCTTGACACCATAATTAATCAAATGCTGACTTGCTGTCAAGGGCAGTCACCTCTTGTGTTCAGCTCTTCTCGTCCATGTTTGGACGAAGGCTGTAATGAAGTCAAAAGCTAAGAAAGCCAAACCCAGTGTCAATGAGCAGGCTATTGCTGAGCAAATACTGCTAGCTAGCAGTGTTGATGGCCTGTTGCGTCTTGCTCCAGCATAGGTACAATCCTATAATACTCGCCCTTGTTTGCAAACCCCTCCAGGGTCATGCCCCTCCACTCTTTGTAACCTCCTTCATCACTACTACTCTGACATTTCTGCTCTCATCCAGTTTTGGCCCCTTGAACATCACTGATTATAATTATTCTGATGTTGGTGGCTGTACCTTCATCTCCCTAGACCCTAAGCTCTGGGAAAAATAATTTACAATTAAGAAATTGAAACGATATTTCTTTGTAAGAGGTGCTAAAAATTTCTACTGCCGGTTACTGAACATAAAAATGTAGCATGTTCAAAAAGACAACTGTGTGAAATTCAGCGTTGTTCCAGATTCAGTGTAAGGGATTTTATGGGAGTGACCCAATGTTCTTCTGTTCAATAAATTACTCTGCTTCTGTGTATTTTAGTTTGTTTCTACATCCATTCCCTGCCTTTCAGCAGGTTTCTGCTTCCATTTCCAGTCATTCAGTATCTTCCTGACATCATTTCCAATACCTCACTGGGGGTTGAATTTTATGTGCCAGAAACCATTGCCAGGCCAACGTCATCTTGAAGGAAGAGGCCCCATGTGAATATTTAATTAAGTGGGAGGCACAAGGGGCTGGTGTGGGCAGAATGTCAATTAAGCTCAATCATGAGCCAACTGGCATCCAATATCCCTGAGCCTACTGTGGTGTGATGGAGTTTGTGCTGGTCTCCTTGCCCTCTAAATCCACTTAGCAAAACCTTTCAGGTTTATTAGTGGCCTTCCACGAAAGGGAGTGGTGCTTGCTATCAGGCTACTCTCTATCTAATTGAGGGAACTAGCAATGGGCAGTGGTCACTAAAAGCCACCCCTCTTCCCTTGCCTCTAATCCCCACATTTCCTCCCATGGCCAGCATTTTGCCTTTACTCACCTATGGCCTGGGGTGTTTCTGCCATCCTTGGCCTCAATTGCGTGCAGCGTCAGTAAAAATTAAGAGCTGCTGGCCTCTGATTGGCTGCAGTTCTTGGTGGGCAGAACTTTCACCACTGGAAGCCTCAATCACGGGGAAAGGAATTTCATTCCATTGGATTACCTTATGATTCACCAACCAGTGGATGATACTATCATCTTCACCTTTAATCTTTCATTGTGTCTTCCCCCCTGTTGGAGAGAAATTATAAAGTATTGATGGACTTAGAATGCAATCAATTAGAAATAACTGAACCTAAAGCCAGCTTCCACTTTTAGGCTCCTAATCCTATTGTAAAAACACATGAAAATGTAATATCTTGTTGAATTGGTGTAATTAGGTTTTTAATAGCTAAGAAGTTTGGAATTAAAGGACTTTTGTGGTGCAGTGATAGTGTCCCTACGTCTGAGCTAGGAAGTCTGGGTTCAAGTCCCAACCTGCTACAGTGGTGTGTCATAACATCACTGAACAGGTTGGTTAGAAAAAGTTTTTAAGAAGTATGTAGTTACTGCTGGATATTATCACTGGTCCTGAAGGAATAATTTCACATATTGAATGTCAAATTTCTCCAATGTGATAAAAAGCTAGAATAATCTTTTCTAAAAGTTTATGATAATTTAGCTTATATCTTCACTCCATGCATATATTTAAATGATGAAATTATAGCAAAAGTAGCAGGGGAGTAGGGGAATTACGGACAACAACGAGCAGAAGAGGAGAAGGGCAGATGAAGCAAACAGCAAGTGGGCAGTAGCCAGAAGACTCTGATGTTGCAATGTGTTGTGATCGTCGCCATCTGTACGTGCACAGGTGGCCAGCTGCTATATTTGCTGGCATCCTGGTGCTGTCAACACTCAGTCTGAACTTTACAATCCAAAGTGGACGAATGTGCTTGTTTTCTGTCTGTGAGCTTACTTCAGTGTAATTGGTGGCTTATCCTGCATGATGGAATTGCAGTTACTGGATGGAAATCTTCTTGACTAGGTGCTAGATCCAAACTGGCATTGGGAAAGAAACTATCCACACCACAGAAACCAATAAATCTTTGTGGACAAATTCCTTTCAGGTTACCAGTGAGCACTGTTATGTCACCACTGACAGAATCTAACCCATTAACTTTTATTGTAGTGGTTTTTAACTGTGGATCCAGTAACTGTCTGAAGCTTAGCTTTGGGGGTGATAATCTTTTAAGGAAATGAGAAATTAATGGTGAAATTTGTGCCTCTCATTGTGAAGAATGATAGTATTGGGGAACAGAATGCTTTATATTTTGGCACTGAGTATCAGGATCAAACACTTCCCACGATAGACACAACTGGGGGTTAAAGTCTTCCCTACATTTTTCCTTTAAAGCAAAAGTAGTCTGAAACCAAAAGAACATTTCACTGCACCAGTGTGAGAATTTCCATCTCCTATATCGGTCACCATATTTCTTGATTGAGTGAATGCAAATTTAGGGGCAATTTTGTGCTTTTGTCAGTTTGCTAATTCAGAGCTGGTTTGATGTTGCTCAGACCTCCTAATTCACATTAGAATCTTGCAACTGGCAGGCTGGTATACTCAAAGATGAAAAGCCAGTATAAAAGCTTGTGTGTTATTTCATTCTACCAGAGCTGCTTCTTAAAGCCCCCACAATGAGAAATCATTGCGTAGCAATTACACTGCATTATGTAAGCTTGCTTCACTATATGCTACATTGGAGCTGCATTCAAAATTTGCCATGTTCAAAATATGGTTTAAATAAAGCTATATATGGTCAAGAAAGCGAAATGACACATAGAGTCTTTAATGTTTCATCTCAGTCATTTGCTTCTGCGTGCTTATCCATTTTCCCATTCTCAGGAATGTTTTCTGCAGTTTCAATTATGATATCCATCAGATTGACTAGGTCTCCATCATTGAGTGAGAATCTTGAATCATTTGGAGGCATGGTGTCGTATTTCAGATGTGTCTTCATATTGGTATCACTTGTGCAATCAGCAGTGGTCATGGATTGAGTGGTTATATTGAGGTACTTGGAGGATGTGCCCATTTCAGAAAACCCCAGGGAAGGTGTGCTTCCTGCCTTATAATCACTGCCAGAGATTGTTCCACTGTGACTTAGTATCTTTGACCTCCCCAGCATTGGGGAAGACACTGGTGTGAAGGAAAAGGTGGATATGGTTGGGCCACAGCCTGGTGTGTTGAGTGAAGGATTTGAAAGGTCTGGACTGTTGGCACGTCCAAGGGGTTCAAGAGTCAGTCTAGGATGCTTGCGGGCTCGGAAACCAGTGCTTGTATTGAGCTTTTGTTTCAATTCGATTGGCTTATCTGTGTCTGAAGAGCTGTCTGTCAACAAACAGGATGGACTTTCAGGAACCAGTAGTAGGTTATTACTGCTGTTAGGATTCATGCTGCTGGATGTTGGTATAAGAGTCTCTTTACTGTTTCTGGTACTTGTAGCAGCTTCGTCTTCAGATGCAATGTGACCACTTTCCACTGCTAGGACCTTTGCAGATGTTTCATTCAGGCAGGCAACTTTATTGGCATGAATAGTGTTTCCCTTGTCCAGCTCATCAGGTTTGGAGGCTGACACATTGCCATTACTGCCTTGGTTTCCACCTGAGGAGACTGAGATGTTAGCCAACATGGAGGATTTCTTTAAAGGGATCCTTTTGAGAGGAAATGTCATGGGAATAGATTGGATGGGTGTTTGAGGTGCACTATAGTAGCCAGGTCTGTCATAAAATGAAGAGGAGATGAAGCTGTCGAAATCCCTTGCCTCACTATCCAAGGCAACACAACCTTGGGTGGACCCTAAAGGTGAATGAGAGGATGAGGAGGCTCGGTGGATTCTTGCGAAGGGTCTATTTGGAGGGAGACATCCTGGCTTATGGAAACCATTAGGTGTTGATTCTGAGCTCAGGAAGCTGTACATAGCAGCCTGCGATAAAGCACTATTCCTCTTCCTCATTAGATTAATTCGAGGAGTGGATCTGGAAATGTTCTGCAAGTTCATTGATGGAATTCCTAGGAGTCGGCCTAAGTTACTCAGAAGTGGAGTGGCATGGTTTACTTCTTCATTCTCATTGATCTGTTCCAGGGGCTGGAACTCCATCTCCTCTTTAAGCATGCTGTAAGGGATGCAAATGTACATTTTCAGCAAGCAAATATAATCAAGTATGTTGTATCTCTCAAAACAGAAAAAGAGCGCATTTTCTCAAGGTTTCACAAATAGCTCAATTGGCAAAGTTGTTGTACAGCTGACCTTGATGGACTAGAATGCACCAAATTAGATCCTCTGTATTTGCCCACCTCAATGGAATGGAGTTAGCCTCCATGTTCTTTCACTAAGGAGAAATACGTTCACCACAATATGAAATCTGATCATTCTTCAATAATTTTGTATGGATGTAAAGTTCACTAAATTACATGATACACACTTCTACATGGACAAGATTTTCCCTATGGGCGAACCACTAAAGGAAGATGTTTGTAGAAACAGTAATTTCCCAGCATTAGTGCCGTCTCTCATCAATAGCATAAAAGCAATGTTAGTGTTATTTCTTGGAGGAAACAAGGGTCTTGCCCACCACTTGGAGAGCTAGCAAGAGCTCTGTGACACCTCTTTCCAGGTACTTAAGTGGGCAGTGGTGGACCTTCCCCAGAATCCTACATCCCAGCTGACAGAAATCCATTTGACGAGAGCTTCCGGTCATCAAAGGTTAGCAGTTCCTTATTGCTTAGAGTTTTAGCAGGGAGGCAGTGGCTACTGCTGGTACTTTACACTTACCTCAGGTCTCAGATTGTTGATGGGCACAGGTATAGCTGAATGATAATGGGTGAAGTTCAGAGGATGGGAATTCCAACAAATGCTTCCAACTTATCAAGGAATGTAAGAAATATCTTTAAAAAGGTTGTTTTTAACCTCAGGTGGAGTATCTCTATCTTTATTATTTTGCACATTTACTTTATATGCTGCTTCTGAGCAGTAATACATTGTACATAAATCTAACTGTTAACTTTTACATATCCCTTTTGGTCTAACAGGTGCTTTTACAGCTTTTTGAAAGGTATGTGGAACATGTGGCAACTCACATGATCACCAGTGGCTGATATCTCAAAAAAGAAAAAGATCATTGTTAATCCTACAGATCTTGGATAGCACTGCATTTCAGTTCACAGTCTGTTCGTGGAAACTGCTGGGAGGCACTTGGAGACCTAAGGCCCTGGTGGAAACTGCACACATTCCTTAGGATCCAACTTCAATCCACAGGGTAACAATTGGCATTCTATTAATGGCTTTAATGCTGTGGGATAAGGAGAGGAAGATCAATCAATGTTCCTGCTTTTACTCTCATTCCTGTGATTCAACCGCTGGAAAATGTCTGTGTGTGTGATCAGGTGAAGATGTTGATTGTGAAGATTGTTTAGTACTCAATGTCCAACACAGAAAGAACGGGCAGTTGGGCAAGATTCTGGAGGAAGGAGGAATGAAGTTCAACAAAGATGGCAGCAAAGTACAAAAGATGGATGTAAAAGTACTGTTGTTTCAGCCTCATCTGACTCACTTTCTTGTAGCTAAAAAGTATCTGGCATCCTATGTCTTATACATCAGGACAACGTTAAAGAGATAGTATTAAATCTATACAAATTATTAGTTAGCCAACAGTTAGAATAGTGTCAGAGATAGCAAGAACGGCAGATGCTGGAGTCTGAGATAACACAGTCTGGAGCTGGAAGAATACAGCAGGCCAGGCAGCATCAGAGGAGGAGGAAAGCTGACGTTTCGGGTCGGGACCCTTCTTCAGAGCACATGGAATTATACCAAGGTTTTGGAAAGTATGTGAAATAGATTTCCTAAGTATTGATAGACTTTACCTACAAGCAAGAGTTGAGAAACTGGGGCTTATTGTATCTGAACAAAGGAGAGATCTGTGAAAAGGATTTTTACAAAGTAATCAGGAAAATAAAATCTATTTCCACTGGTCAGTGAGTCAGAAACTAGAATGTGTAAATTTAATACACTTGGAGAAAGTACAGAGAGAAAGTTAAGGAGAAAATAACATTTACTCAGTGTTGTTAGGACATGGAATGCTAATTGACCTTTTTCTGTCCTACCAAAGTTTGTAACCAGTGGTGGGACTCGTAAGGCCCAAAGCCTGGTAGTAAATTTCCTTTATAGCTTCTCTGCTGAATCAGTGTTTATCTGTGATGGCCACATAATGAAACAGTCTGCTACTATTTATTGACCAGGTTCATTATATGAAGAATTACTATATAGTTACAAAAGGGTTAAACATGATTTCACATCTTTAGAAGAGGAAGAAGAGAAGGTAGCGGTATGTATGGATTCTTTCAAGCTTGAAGTGGTTTAGTGTGAATTAGGATATTCATCTTTTTGGGCTAAGCAGAAGAATCTTGTTATATAAACAATATGAAGGTTACTTCACTACTGCAACTGTTTACAGATTGTGAACTATATTATTACAGTGATAGGAGCACACTAACCCCAGACCTGTGCCTTACAAGCTCCTTCTTTATACTACCTGAGTCCCTAATGACATCATCAAAGTGGGTGACATTTATTGTACTCAATTAATTATGAATATTTTTACATCTTTCCAGTCCCATAAACAGCATTTACCCCCAAGCCCATTATCCTCATAATGATTATACTGTTTTGCATGTGCTAATATATTTGCATTTGCTACTATCTCATCTCCCTCCAAGATTTTGACTTTGCAAATTCACATCTGCATGTTTCACCATTTTGTCCAAAGATGTTCTCCTCAGACTTGGAAGAATGGTAGTTTGTTAGGTAGAAGATATTTGACTTGGACTGTCTTCCTGATAGTCTGAGGTCTGTGGCTCCCTCTTGAATTGAACGGTATTTAACCTCTTGTAATTCTTTCATAAACGACTTTGATGATATACGCCTATTCTTTATAGCTGTCAACGTGATCCCTACTATTGTAGGTGATATTATTCTTTTCATGTTGCGGGTCTCTTCTTAGTACTGTCATCTTTGGAGTTGAATGGACCACATCTTTAATCTGTGTCAGTGGAATTCTTTTCCTAATCTTCTTGAAAGTTCTGGGTTTTGATACAAATGTTAGTATGTCAAAATATTTTGTCTTGGTCACTGATTTTGCCCAGGAGAATTGTGGATTTGTCTTCTAAAGAATGTTTCACCATTTTTTAATCTCTTTGTTTGGGTAGTACTTTGACATTTTGCTTTTCTCTGGCTGGCTTCTGCTTCGGCACATTTTGTGAAAGTGACATACTTTCTTATGATAAGAGCATTCAGTTTTAAAATCTGAGCACTGTTCACATATTTGACATTTCTTTACTCCATAGATCTGGCAATGACTTTGTCTCTGTCTATCCTGCACGCTTCATAAGTTTTTCCGTATATCTTTTGTACTTAAGAAATGCATAAATTCTGTAGCTCTCTTGTGCCAAGTTTTACCTTCTCCTCATAGGATTGACCGGCTTTCCTTCCGGACTTCCAAAATTACTCTCCAACTGGTGAATGGCTTTCTCTCGGGTTAGTTATTTTTAACTGTAATGGATCTGACAAAGATTCACCAGCAATGCTTGCAGCAATCTAGTCTTGTATGAGTTCTGACTTTAAGTCACTATAATCACAGCTCTCCACTAGCCTCTAGAGACCATTAATGGAACCATCTATGGATTCACCTGCATGCCGCACTCTTTTGTTGAATCTTGCCCTTTCAAGAATTTTACTGGATCTTAGATTTAAAGAATTATCAAAGGCCTTCGGTACCATTTTGAATGTGTGCGATATTTCAATATGGTGAACAATAATATCATCTGCAGTACTCCCAATTGTGTGGAGAAGTGTATTTTCTAGTTCTGTTCCTGACTTACATTCCAGCTGAGAAGTGGTTCTATACCTGAAGCATCGTCTCCTCAAGGATGTCCAATATTGTATTCTATTTGGCCCATCTTTGAAATTAAATCTTTCTGGCAAAAACGTTTCTGATACCATAACTTCCAAAAGTGTTCAACTATTTATCTTTTTTAAAGATTATTATTTTTCAGTAATGGTGGTTCTTTGGCGCTTTGGTTCTGAACAGGAGACTTTTTCTGTATTTTATGGCTGTAATGGAGGTTTACCCTCTCTTTGTGTCTGTAATGGAGGTTTACCCTCTCTTTGTGTCTGTAGTGGAGGTTTATCCTCTCTTTGTGTCTGTAATGGAGGTTTACCCTCTCCTTGTGCCTGTAATGGAGGTTTATCCTCTCCTTGTGCCTGTAATGGAGGTTTATCCTCCCTTTGTGTCTGTAATGGAGGTTTATCCCCTCTTTGTGTCTGTAATGGAGGTTTATCCTCTCTTTGTGTCTGTAATGGAGGTTTACCCTCCCTTTGAGTCTGTAATGGAGGTTTATCCTCTCTTTGTGTCTGTAATGGAGGTTTATCCCCACTTTGTGTCTGTAATGGAGGTTTATCCTCTCTTTGTGTCTGGATTGGAGGTTTACCCTCCCTTAA